CCACAAGAAAGGAACAAATGAAGAATGTTCCTTATACAGTGCTGTTGAAAGTCTAATGTACGCCCATGATGTACACTAGAGCTGACATCTGTTATGCCGTTGGGTTGGTAAGTAGATACCAGTCCGACCCAGGACAACACATTGGAAAGTATTGAAGAGAATCTTAAGATATCTAAAAGAGACAGCTGATTACTCATTATGTTATCAAGGAAATGATTTACACTTGAAGGCTACCACCGATGCTGATTGGGGAAGAGATTTAATGAAAGGAAATCTACTTTCGGTATGTTTTCTTACTAAATGTGGGCCATATCTTGGAGCAGTAAAAAACAATCATGTATAGCCTTATCTACAATGGAGGCTGATTTTGTAACATTTTCAGCTGCAGTGCAAGAAGCCGTTTGGCTGAGACGGTTCATGAATCATCTGAGAATAATTAATGTTGCTATTGACCAATGAATAAAGTGATAGTCAAGCGCAATAGCATACACTAAGGATCCCAAATATTATGGTAAAACGAACACATAGATATCAAATATAATTTTGTGCGAGACTTGGTGGCACAAAAAGAGGTGAACATGAAGTACATATCTATGCATACATGGTGGCGGATCCATTCACAAAGCCTATACCAAGAGACTTTCAATAGACATGTAGATCTCTAAGCTTACGTAGGTGTTGATGTACTCATACTTTGAGATTTCCCAAAATTGTTCACTTTGTCTTATCAATATTAAAACATATTGTCAATGCTCAATTTGATTATTATGGAACATACATGAAGGGGCATATATATACATATTAGTTTTGTAAATATTATATATGTCCTTTGAAAAGCATGTTAGCAGTTAAAAGATTGGCCTTCCTCACACAGGCAATCGCCTCCTTACTTCGTAGAATAGAGATGAGTCGATTTTAAGCTTATTACTAGGTGATATAGAGAGCCAGCTTAAAATGTTTAAACGTCGCCTAAAACTAGAGTTAAAATAATGTCATAATGAAATGTGACCATAAGTGATAAATGATCACTTTATCTGGCTAATTGCCAATTAGAGTTCTGATAAATTAAGTATGTTAAAGTGAACTCAGTTAGACTTAGGTATGTCTGAACTAAAATATGTACAGTATTTACAAGAAAAGAGACATGCCCTCCATGGGAAAGGAGGAATGTTGTAGCATGTGATTCGTACCACATGTGCAAAACTTGACCAAGGGGTAGAGAAGTCAAAATCTCAACTTTAACATTGTGTGAGACCCTGAGTTTTTTTTAAGAATAAAATCTCATAGAATACCCTATTACTCTATTTTGTTTCTTGAAAACCTCATTTATGTTGCTATCTTAGAGTATTACCAAAGGATTAAGATAAATTCAATCTGCTGGGACATTTCTAGAAAAGCAAGTTAAATGAGAATTGCAAGAATCGAGAAAAGAGAAAGATTACGATTTTGAATTATCCCACTAAATCACGTGTATTCATTGGTCAACCAATTATGTTTACTTTTTGTAAAGACATAACATATTATGAATTATAAATGAGATTGTTAGAAAAATGTGATAAGTAATCTAGGGTATTGCATACAACATACAACCTGGTTTCACAATTCGAGAAGTTTATATATCCTACCAGATATATGACTAACGTGCTCTCGAAGTATGCATGTGCCACACGGCATTTACTAAAGTATGAACCTTAAAGAAGCACAGAAGAGATGTCCCATCATGTATGAGTGGGAGATATTGAATAAGTACACCCATGATGAAGGGGCGTGAGAAGTGGAAACTGCCAAAGGCAGTTTCTCACGAACCGCTCCCATATAAAAAGTTTTTCTTTTTAGTAAGATTACTCACTGTTACTCAAAATACGCAAAGGAAATAGCTCTCTCTCTCCTCTAAATTGGAAAAGAAAATACTCTTCTTGGTTTTCTTTCAGATTCAATTTATTGCTTCAAGATAAGGAGAAGAGATATTTATGCTCAATTTATTGCTTCAGAGATAGGAAGAGGTATTTATGCTGTGTAAATTCATTGTAATTCGTTTAATACAAATGTGATTGCAATGGGTGACTATGATCTTGGGAATTTTAAGATATATGTTATTCTGTGTTATTTCCAACACAAACAATTCAAGGAAACTCCACCCTTTTCGAGTCAGGTTAGGCCGAGTCCTCGACATGGCGGGGTTTATCTATCCTACCCAAGAGTCCCACTCGACCACCCAAAAGTAATTATTAAGTGAAATTCCTAACACTGAAAAGCAACCTGCAGAAGAGGGGAAAGTTAAGTTTATAGTGCATGCATTGTGTTTCATTTATGTTTTCTTAAGCAGAAATCTCATAAATATTAAAAAATTGAAAGCACACGATACATAAAAAGGTTGTTTTCTATTTTCATTCTCTACTATAACACAAATTCATAATATTTATCATAAGAAACAATAACAAATTTCAAATACTACTTTTAGATACTCTAATGAACCATTTTTAAATTTAAAATCAAAATCAAACTTCTTATTTTGAAACAAAAATATCAAAAACGTAAATAATGCACCTAAGATGTCTATTTTATCATATATTTATTTTTCGGTATACAATTGAGAAGATGATGCTTCTATATATAACTTTTGAACCTTCATTGTTTCATTTGTTGAGAGGTGGGTTGAGTTTATTAATTTCTTTCATTTTATGAGTTTTTGGATTATTCATGAATAATTTGAATGATATTATTTGAAACAAAACCATATTCTAAATTTGAAATTTCTCAAGCAAATAGGGTAAGATATATAGGCTCCATTTGGTTCACTTTTTTACACTTTTTGAAAAGTTTTTGGAAAAAAGTTAAAAAGTTGAATTGGCGGTATTACGATGTAAGATTGAAAATAAATAAAATACCCTCTATATTTGTCTATTTACTAAATACCCCCCTATGTTTGTTATTTACTAAAAACCCCTATAAAAACATTAAAAGTTAACAAAACACCCCCAACCCACCCATTAAATTGGACAGCCGGCCACCACCACGCGCGAGGGTGGCCGAAGTCGTCGTATCGGCACATGACCAACTGGATCTTGCCGGTCTTGCGCCGATATGGCCTTTTTCGACTAGACCACAGTGGATCTGGCCGGCAAAGGTCAGATCTCAACTAGATCTGGTCGTATTTGCTCATCAACGACGGCGAAAAGATATGCTGTCATTGATGGTCAATGATGACCATGTGTTGGCCGTCATTGCGATTGACTACGACCAAAGATCTGGCCGTCACGGCCAAATCTTTGGCTGTAGATCTGGCCTTTTCCGGCTAAATCCACTGTGGATCTAGTCGAAAAAGGCTAGATCGGCGCACTACTGGCCAGATTTAGCCGGTAGGGCGCCATTATACCAGATTCCGGCCATTTTCCGGTGGTGGTGGCCGGAATCTGGTAAATATGGGCTGCTGGGTTTTTTTGTAATTTTTAAAATATTTAGGAGTATTTATTAATTAATATTAAGGGTTTAAAAAAATTTAATAATATTTAAGTTTTTGTATTTTACTGTTTACTTTATTGGTAAAATATAGCATTTTAGAAATCTTTCTTCAAAATTGTGCATATGGAAATCTAGAAGAACTCACCAAAAATAATTCCAACATTTATCATATGTAAAATGCTAATTCAAATATATCCTTTAAAACATTTAATGTGTGTGATCACGTTTATAAATTAATAACAACGTTTATTACCTTTTTTTTTTTTTTTAATAATTTTTTTATTTGAAATCTAGATAAACCTTTATTATAAGTTTGAATGACAATATTTGAATAATGTGGCGGTTCCTTATCACCACCACACATTTATCAAACCGCAGATCGTATTATACCTATGTTTGGTTTGATAACCTAATGAATAACTCATCAAGGACATAAATATTAAATAATACTATAGTTTATTTACCATGGATAAAAATGGATCTAGGTTGGATTGCCTTAGCTAATAAACTTATATATTTTTCTCAGTTATTTATTCATTTACTACTACACTATTATTAATTATATAATCACTAAATATAAAAGGACACGCTTATTCATATAAATAAACAATTATTTATTTAAGCTAATAATATATCTGATATTAAAAAATCTTTTACAACAACTTGAGCCTTAATGTAATCTAATTAAAGTTATATTTAGGGTATTATCATTTTTTCTTTCAGACATGTCAGTTAGGATTTATATATATGTCAAGGAGCTTTTTCAGTAGTGTATCCTCAATTTTTTATTGAGGCACCATAGACACACATTATTGTACATTACGTTTTGAGGTTTATTAATCCTACCAAAAAAAAATTCAAGATTAATGTCCCTTAATGATTTCATAATTATATAAATATTTAATCTTAATTGCTCTTATATATGAGCATGAATAAGTATATTATATGTACTATTTCCCACTTACAATATGAAAACCAATGTTGAAGTAATGCTAATTTTCTTCCTTCCATAAGAATATTAAGTATAATATAATATACTAGCTAATATAGTAATGCAATAAGTACAATATTTACTTTACATGGTAATACAATACATTAGCTAACATGATAAGATAATATAATAGACAATTATGATGGCATGCTAATGTACAATTAACACATCCTAATATTGTCTGGACTATTTTTGGGTGGCGAGTAGTTCAATATAAACTTTTGGATATATTATTTAAGATGTTTTGAGTTCGAGTCCCTCATTGGTTGTTAATAAGAGTAGTCATTAAAGTTTTTTTTACCTGAACAGTAATTTCAAGGTTCTAAAAAATTAGTTGAGGTGTGCGTAAACTGGTCCGATCACTCACGATCATAAAAAAAAACTATCAACAGATATGAAATGCATGTATGTCACATACGGCATGCGAGGCCATGTGTTTGGTTTAAGAAAAACGTGATAAATGATATTAATTCAACTACATATACGTAATAATGTAAGCTTTGTAGGCAAAATTAATTTTTCTTCGATCATTTGACAAAAAAATTCCATGGAGAAAAGCTGTGTCTCCCAAAACCCTTTGGTAGAATTAGAAGAGCAGAAAAAAAATGATGAACTGATTTCGAGCCTTCCAAGAGTCGAGCTCTGGGATGGCTATTATCTACATCAATACCAAGGGTTTTGGTGTCCATCTCCTTTCATTCGTCCCATGATTTCCTTTCAAAGGCATTTCCAAGCACAAAACGAAGACATAATTCTAAGCACCTATCCAAAATCAGGCGCCATTTGGCTAAAAGCTCTGATATTCACCATTGTCAATCGTTCTCGTCACACTCTAGAACAAAGCCCCTTGCACACTAACTTTGCCCATCAGCTAATACCTTTCTTCGAGACAGCCATTTACATGAACAATCGAACTCCTGATCTTGAAGATCTACCTAAACCGAGGATTTTCGCGACGCATGCGCCGTATTCTTCACTTCCACATTCCATTATCGATTCTAATTGTCGCATTGTTTACTTGTGTAGGAATCCTTTGGATCAATTCATCTCCGAGTGGCAATTCTTGCTCGGAATTCAAGGGAACAAAGGGAAGCAACGTTCAATGGATGAAGCTCTTGAGATGGCTTGTAGTGGAGTCCAAAGCTATGGCCCCATTTGGGAGCATGTTTTAGGGTACTGGAAAGTGAGCAACGAGCAACCAAACAAGATACTCTTCTTGAAATATGAAGATTTGAAAGAAGACACCGATTTCTATGTTAAGAAATTGGCTGATTTTTTAGGATACCCTTTTTCAAAGGAAGAAGAGAAGGAAGGAGTGATTGAAGAAATATCAAAGTTCTGTAGCTTTGATAACATGAAAAATTTGGAAGCTAGCAAGACTGCAGATAGACATCCTATCGGGTATACAACAAAAATGTTCTTTCGAAAAGGCAAACTGGGAGATTGGAAAGATTATTTAACCCCTTCAATGGCAGAACGTTTAGAAAAATTAATGGAGGAAAAGTTTGATGGATCTGGTCTGAACTTTAAAACATCGTAAAAAGGCTCCCTATTAGTGTTTATCTTAATTTATTTCGTCAACGTCCAACCTTAATTTGCTTTCCTGTGTCTTTTAGTTTGATTTTTCACTTGAAATCTGATCAATAAATTTCAGTTTTATTTTATTTGCGGTGAATGATTTTGGATATGTGAATTTAGATATTATGGTGGTATTAATTATTGTTTTTGAAATTGAAAAAAAAGAATGTGGCATTAATTTATTTTATTTATTTTTTCTTCTCCGATCACTTACATTTGAAACATGAAGAGAAGACGTATAAATACTAGTTTAAATTACCTACGGACCACATAATATTATTAGCCTATTAACTATAATTATTCACTTATTATTATTTTTTAATAGATAATAATTAAAATAATAATAATCATTAAAAAAAAACAAGTTTAATTATGGTTTTTCAATTGAGAATGCATGTGTTTTGTGTTTTTATTTAAAAAAAAAAAAAAAGAATTTGAAAATGAAATCAATGGAAGTTGGTTTAGTTGTATAGTGAGTGGTACATTTTAAATTTAATTTGTGAAAAAATGATGAAAACAGCTAAATGATAAAATTTCAGATTTTATCAAACACCTTTCTCTGTTCTTTATCAAATACATCTATTCTTGCTTTCTTTCCTTGGTATCAGAGCTATGACAGAAGTAAACAATAATCAGAATACTAATTCTCAACATCAAAATCAAAATTCGAGATCAATTGCATGCGTGTGGAAATTCGATGAATAGTGCAATAACTTTCACCGCTCATTAATTGTACCACTTTACTACTACTATTAAGCTTGATCGAGAGGCTATTTCAAAGTGTGAAGACCACAAGTTAACTATTAAACACGGTATCAAATTAATTTATAGGTTTAGATCTTACTAACGTCGGCAAATCATGTTAGTTAAAACGTACATATTTAATATAATAAGTTTTGTCATTCACAAGTTAACTATTAAACACGGTATCAACTTAATTTATGGGTTTAGATCTTACTAACGTGGGCAAATCATGTTAGTCAAAACGTACGTATTTAATATAATAAGTTTTGTCATTCATAAGTATATTTTATTTTTAAAATAAAGAGAAATGAGAATAATACATGATAAATTGATCTATTATAATCTTATTGAGAGAAGTGAAACAAATTTATATTTTATTTAAGAATTTAGATAATAAAGAAGGAAGGGTGCGAAAAAAAAAAAAAAAAAAAGTTGTTGAAGGAATTATAACCAAAAGTGTAGAGCTAGAGAATTAAGTGACATTATTTTAAAAATCAATAATGTTGGGTTCATAATTCAATCTCATAACCTTCTCTTACAACTCTTAACGTGACAGTTCATCATTGATCAGTTCATAAAATGGGTCATGCTCACCTATTTGCAAACTAACTAATGACGAACTGTCACGTCCGAAGTCGTAAAAAAAACTTATCAACCTAACATTATTGTTTAAAAATATAAACTATTATGTAAGCAATTATAAAATCTAAAAATAGAAAATTTTTTTTTTTTTAATCTTCGAAGTTATTTTTAATGCAACTCTGTCTTCAGCGTGATTGATAGAAATAGTCAATTATTTTCCACGGTTAATATTAAAAATAAAAAATCCTTGTTCTTTTAATTTTTCTTACACAACACAAGCAAGAAAAAGTGAGGCTTGGTCAGAAAAGCAAAAGAGGAAGGAAAAACAGAAACTGCAAGTGGGTTCACTTGTTATGATTGTCTTGACAAACATAACGCAATATAAATCTCCTTGTTCGTCATTTACAGGAAATCGACAATATCTACAACAGAACAGAGAAGATGAGTTCCATTAACAAAGACAATGAAGAATGCATAGATGCCATGCTGTTCCGCAACTCTCATCTCTTCCCCATGGTCTTCAAAGCAGCCATCGAGCTCGATCTATTCTCAATCATAGCCAAAGCTGGGCCCGGTGCTCACATTTCAGCCGCCGAGGTTGCGTCTCAGCTGCCTACCAACAGCCCTTCAGCACCTTCAATGCTTGATCGCGTGCTACGTTTCTTGGCTAGCCATTCAGTCATCACCTACTCTTTGCGCACGCTTGAAGATGGTAGAACTGAAAAACTTTACGGTCTCACACCCGCCTCTCAACTTTTCGTCGGCAACAATGATGAAGATGAATCCCTCTGGTCTGATCTTTTGGCCCTTCCCTACCACCCAGCTGTGCAGCAAGTTAGGTAACTTAATTACAGCAAACGTCTACCGTAATAAATTTTGTAGTTGTTTTTTAATTAATTTACTTTTTCTTGATCCTGTATTTGTGTAGCATGCGTATGAAGGATGCCATTCTTGAAGAAACTGGGGATTTGTTCAAGAAAGTTCATGGTGTGACTATGTTCGAGTACATGAGAAATGATCCCACTTTCAACAATGTTTTCAATAAATCAATAGCTGCAAATTCTCAAATTACCATGAAGGGGATTCTTGAGGTATACAGAGGATACGACGGACTTGCATCACTGGTTGATGTTGCTGGTGGAACTGGCAAATGCCTCCACATGATCACATCCAAGTACCCTTACATTAAGGGTATCAATTATGATTTGCCTCATGTGATACACAGCGCACCATCTTATCCCGGTATTAATTTTATATTTTCAGAATTATTTTTTAGACTCTTGAAAATAATATAATGAATAATTTTCTAGTTTAGATGTCCTGATACTAATTTGTCAGGACCATGCATATATACCATTGGATTTGAATTGTAAAATATCATACTAATCCAATGAGATGAGTCCAACAGTAACTAAGCATGGTCGTGATGAACTTGACATGAGGACGTCTTAACTAGAAAAGGACTCATAATATAATTAATTAGTAATAAGTAAGTTTCTATATAGGTATCAAACATGTTGGTGGAGATATGTTTTCAAGTGTTCCAGTAGCGGATGCAATTATGTTAAAGGTTTGTTTAGAAATAAACTTTTTTCTATATGTTTTGATTGATAGATCTTCAATTCAATGAATTCATTGGCTTTTCTTTTTCTTTTTATTCACTTTTTTCTTTTTCTTTTTTGTTATCTTTGCCTTACAGGATATAATTCATAACTGGAATGATGAGAACTGCATAAAAATTTTAAAGAATTGTCACAAAGCGCTATCGACTAATGGAAAATTGATTATTATAACTGCAATGTTGCCGGAAGAACCTGATTCAAGCAAGTCTTCTATGTTTGTTTCTGGAGCTGACAGCATCATGTTCATGCTTACTTCATCTGGGAAAGAGAGGACAACAAAAGAATTGGAGGCCTTGTGCAAAAAAGCTGGATTTTCCAACTTTCAAGTCGCTTGTGATTTTCAAGGGGTTCGGAGTGTCATGGAATTTTATAAATAAGGGTGCGTAATCAATTTGCAAGAATATTTACTTTCTTTGGCTCTTTTTTTCTTTCATGGAGTTGTTTTAGCAGTATGGAAACCGAATATCACGAAAGCACATTTTAATAAATTTTGGGTAAGCCATTGATGAAGCTTAATGCTCTAACACTTCTATATCTCGAACTCAATTAGCTTTCTGTAGTTCTTATTTCATGTCTTTCCCTCAATAAACCAGAATGAATTTATGTATCTAATATCCATACCTTCCTTCATAAAAGAACACTCTTGACTTTCAGTTGTATGCATTATATGGTTGTTCGTTCTCATTGCTTTGATCTTTTGCTACAAGGAAACGGTAGCTAGTTATTTTTCTATTGAAATTATGGGTTACGGTAATCAGAGAGGAAGATGGCAAAGCACTAATCAAACTTATTTTCTTATTTCAAATATACGTTGCTAACTGAATTCACAGCTTCCTCACAAAAGTCTCCCAAAGCCCTTCATTTGTCAACACTTGGAATATCTTTATTACTTGTCGATCGACTCCGAAATAATTAGAAATTAACAAATGAATAATGGAATACATTTACAAAAATACCTTGCATATGAACATTTAAAGAATATGTATACAATTCAAGAGAAAGACTAAATTTGCCCTTAACATTGAACAGTACTTATATGAAAAACATATCAAAATAAACATAATATAATATGCTTATTGTTAATACCCAAAAAAAAAAAAAAAGGGCCTAACTTTCCTCTTACAATATCAAGTAACAAGTAGCTTTTACATTCCTTAATGTAAGATTGGGAAATAAACTTAACATAAATATTTTCATATTCCACCTCAAGCATGTAGTAAAGCTATAAGGTTCATCAATTTCATGTTAGGTATGATCTAATCCAAACTTAACCTCAACTTCGTTGATGTCATATGTCATTACTAAACAATCTCACTTCAATGGTTTTTAATATTTTGATGTTATGAGCCTTTCTAGAATTGAACTCTGGGTTGGATTTTATCTTCATCATTTCAATCCCAAGGCTTCTGGTGTCCATCTCCTTTCATTCGTGACATTATTCCCTTTCAAAGGAATTTCCAAGCACAAGATGGAGACATACTACTATGCACCTATCCGAAAATCAGGCAGCATTTGGCTAAAAACTTAAAAAGTGTAAACTGCAAAAGGTAAAGAGAGATTCTAGAGAGTTTTAGAATATCGAAGTCTTGTACTTATAACATTACATTATACTATTATAGTATGATCATATAATTAATATAACATTACATAATTAAATGATTACTTAATTGATTATGACATTATATTATAAGCATTAGTAATTTACTAATTTACACAATACTTAATCAAATTATTATAATTTTATTGATTATAACATTATATTATAAATTTATGGTATGATTATTTAATTAATTATAACATTCTATTATAAACAATATTACAATACTTGATTAAATGATTAACAATGCAAGTGTTGCTTAGAGATTACAGGTTATGAGTTACATTAGACACAAATGAATTAATAATGAAAATTTGTTAGGGTGTATTTGTAAACTTATAAGGTGTATTTGTTATTTTTTAAACTAATAGGGGGGCAATTGATTTTTTACAGGGTACCCTGGAAAGGAACCGGAACCTGCATTTTAGGTTCCGGTTCCATGAATTGAAGAACCTGCACTGTGCGGTTCCGGTTTCAGTTCCTCTTTTTGGGAACCTGCATTGTCCGGTTCCGGTTCCCCCAGAAAATGCAGGGTACCCGGAACCGCTCACCCCTATATACAAGTCTTACAAGATAGTCAATTCACACAGTAACCTAATTCTTTCTATTCCTTGTCTCCTTAATTTACTCCCATTGGAAGATAAAATCTTCTTGCCCTAAGATGACTCCAATCATATCTCATTGCAAATGTAATAAACTTTGGCATCCATAACCGATGGATGTTCGCGGCCTTCAAAATGGTTATGCAATCTCAATATCTCAAAAAATAAATGTGTAATCCAAAAGAACAAACGCTAATAATTATAGCTTTAGATCAATCCACTGAATTGTCATACTCAAGCCTTATACGTTTTGAGTGGGTTTCTTTCGTCCAGTCAAGGCAGTCCTCTACAGTGCCAGAGGCATGGGCAAGCCGCCATGCAAGCAGTTTTTGTTACTTCAAAGTAAAGAATTAATTAGCATTTGAAACTTCAAAACTTTTTTTCTTTTTTGGTTCTTAGATGCATAAAGATTGCCTTACCCACTCCCTAACAAGCGGCCCTCCAGACTTAAGCGACAAAACACTCATAATCTCTCTTTTCTAGACGAGGGCAGGGACCGATCCCTTGCGGGCCTAGGTCTGGGCCCGTTTGGGACTGGTCCCAACTGAGACCAGTCACTCATAGTCCCAGGCCCATGAGAAAAACCAGGACCCGGACCAGGCCTTAGGCCTGGTCGGGACTGGTCCCATGGGCCTAGGATCGGTCCTAGGACTGGTTCCATGGGGCTTGGATAATTTTATTTTCCCCCCTCAATTTTTTTTATATTCTTGGGGCAAAACAAAATTTTATAGGGGGGTTTTAGTATTTTTAAGGGGTAAAATTTATAAATTTTATAAATTTTTTAGACTTGGAAGAATTTTTTTTAATAAATTTTGTAAAATTTTATTTTAGCCCTCATAATTTATATTTGTTTTAAAATTAACAGGGAGTTTTATGTAATTTGGCAGAGGACTATATTGAAAAAATACAAAAAATTTTTAGCCTAGGCCTAGGACCGATCTTAGGCCTGAGCCTTGGAGGAGGCCCCAGTGGAGGGCCCGGGCCCTCCTCCTTAGGCCTGGTCCCGTTTTGGGACCAGACCTCCTAGGTCCGATCCTCTCAAGGACCGATCCTAGGACTGGGTTTTGGAGTTGGGCTTTTGGGCCCGGTCTCAAATGCCCAGCTCTACTCTTTTCCGTTAACCAAACGTTTCACGTCCCACACTTTCTCAAGAGAACAATGTTCTCTCCTCCTTGTTTAAAATAGAATAAATTATAAATTTTACATCTCGTTAAAATAAAAACTGAAGAAACCAAAACTGAAAAGAATACTACAATTAGATAAAAGGTATTTTGGTTAATAATTAGTTATCGCATAATAGAGTAATTTATTTCACTGGGGCTTGTCAATTGTTAAACCCAGATAATTTATAATTTATTTGTAAGTGGCGTTGAGCTCTAGGTGCAATGCATTTGAGAAGATTTATAATTTATCTGTAAGTGGCGATGGGCTCTAGGGGCATTTGAGAAATATGATTACGTTTCTTGAGAAAGCGTCTTTGTCTTCTTATTTGATTAAATAAATACTGTATATACAGTAAAGTATCGGTAGATTTTCTAAAATGCCCTTGAAGTTTGTCTATTCATTTTTTGGCACTTCTCAGCGAAATTTTTAAAATGTACTCGTAAACCCGATCGTTGTAGGCTTGTAGTATAGCTCTGTTAACGTAAGAGGGGTAATTTAGTCAATGAACATAAGATATTTTGTATAAATAACCAGAGTTAATACTATTGTAATCCTTGTCAATTAACTAAACTATCCCTCATATGTGTTCTGCACGGCCTCAGGGTTTGGGTTATCTCTTGATATTTTTGCCCAAAAGTACCACAAGTTTAATAAATAGAAATCTCTCCGGTAAAGTAATTGTCGTAGCATTTATGTGACACGGGTGATACAAACCAGATGAAAACATGAATAATTTTGTAAATTAAACAAATTATATATAGACTTAAAAATCTACTTGTATGAAAGGGGGGGTTGATCCCGTGAGGTTGAGGCCACTAGCGATCCGTTGCACCTACACACGTAGAGAACAAACGCGTGAAGCGAATGGGAAAGACCGGGGTGGTGTTTGCCGTAGGCACTCCGACGCTCAAGTCAGCAAGGCTGAAGAGGCTAGTATAGTAAGAGCTAGGGAGTAGAGAGGTTACTAGAAGTCTAGGCAGGGACTGTGACTACGGTAGTGATATGAAGCTTCAAGTCAGGCTCAGGTGTGGAGGTGTAATGTAATGTCCCTTGTAAGAGGGCAGCCTCTGCTTATATAATGATTGTCTGGTCTCCCAATCCGATAGAAGTAGGAGTCCTAGTGTGATTCTGATACAATCTAGAGTTAGGGCGGTGGTGACTGTTACTAGTGTCCGGATAGGAAGATAACCTGATCAAGAAAGTAATTCGAGTAGGAAAGTGATATGAACAGGAAGGTGACCTTGAATAGGAGATTGATCAGGAATAGGAAAGTGACTGTGAGGGCCGTGGGCTCTGGATTCGCTAATGGATCCAGAAGTGAACTGGGATTATGAGGCTTGTGCCCGGATGGTTTGGACCGGCTGTACCTTGTACCAGATGGGCCTAATCCAGATTGGATCATTGGGATTGGGCTTGACTTTTTCCTTACTATCGGGCCCGTTTTCTATTGGGCCAAGGACGTTTTTGGCCCTAACAGTTTGGCCTCCACTTTTTGAGTTAAGATTTTTAAGTCAGAGAGTAGGAAGCGATTGAGGCATGGTCAATCTCCCTTCCTGGACGACCGATTGTCGGCATGGGTGATCTGGTTGTTGTAGGTGGTTCTTGGTCGGGGATAGTTCAGTGTCCCTACTGATCCGGAGTATGCCATCATTACAAGTGGTGTGTCTGAGTTGGTGAAGGCCAAAGGGGTTGAGACCACGAGGCTTTGGGGCTCATGAGCTCGTTCGATACGTCCCATCAACAAGAGAGGTGACGTGTATTCTGTTGTCGGGGTGTCCGCTCGGCATGTGGGTCGAATGAGTTAGAGACTACATTAAACTAAAGGTTTGCTCAGTTGGTTGCTGGGATGGTTAGTGGAAGAAATGTGCGAGTCTCGACCAAGGGCTGTCTATTCGTCTGCTATGGAAGAACAAATGGGTGAGGCCTCCTACCATTTTTACCTTAGAGAGCTCGGGCCGGGCCGTTCCAAGCTGGTTAACCAGTTGGGAGGATCTCATGGGCTTGTGAACATGGGGGTATGCTGGGTCATTCGGGCAGTCATGTGCTGGCTCGGTGGGAGGCAGGGCAATGGAAACGGCTCTCGTACGGCCTTGCAGTTTCCTATGTGCCTCGGATGCTTGCCACGTGGTTCGGTGGGGATCGACTCCTTGTTTTCGAGGCGGGAAAGTGAAAAGACTCTCTGACTCTTGGCAATCGTGGGATGCCAGTGTCTTCTGAAAGATCAGCATGCATGCATGAAGAGTGGTGGAAATGGAGAAGAAAGCATAAAAAAAATTGGATTCAAAAAACC